TTCCTTCACTTTCTCTTTTCCACTTGCTGGGCTACTATTATCCCTGCTCTGTAACTCTTCAGGGCCTACAGGCTGAGAAAACACCCCTAACACACAGCCCTCCCCACCTCCATCCCACAGCACAGCCACTCTGCTTCAGGAGAGACCCTCACAGAGCCTTGCTCTCAGGATGGATAAAACAGTGGGAATAAAATCCTAATACAGCTCACAACCACTTCCTGGAAAAAAATACAATGCAATATGTTCCCCGTAACCTGCACCATCATGTTTTATTCCCAACAAGTCCTGCTGTGGAAAGATCAGTGCTCTACATATCAGCCCCTAGTGACAGGCAGGTTGGCAATTAATTCAAGTACTGAATAGCAGCCAACAGCATTTTTTACACAAGTTATCACCATTTGTGTTACTTTATCAGGCTAAACCTGACCCTCCCACAAACAGGACCACTACAGCAACTGAATCCCATACCAATTTCATCCACCACCGCAACCATCTTCTCCAGTTCATCAGGACAGATGTCAGGGCAGTGAGTGAAACCGAAGTAGATGAGCACCCACTGGCCAAGGTAGTCCTTGCTGGTCCTGGGCTGTCCCTCGTGGCTGACGAGCGAGAAGGGCCCTCCTAGCAGTGGCTTCCCAATGCCTCGGTTTCGTTCCTTCTCCAGTGCTACAAAACACAAGAGGGAATCCAACACATCCATGCCACAATCCACACTGCTTTAGGCCTTGGCAGCAGCTGAGTCAGGCACAGAGCAGGGTCACAGCCAGGGCACTGACACAGCAAGATCCAATGCCTGTCCCATGGAAACCCAATGCACACATGACCTCCAAAAGGCACTGCTTTGGGACATCAAATGTATCATAGGATTGTAGAATTCAAGGGGTTGGAATGGAGCTCAGAGATGATCCAGCCCCAACCCCTGCCCTGGGCAGGGACACCTCCCACCAGAGCAGGTTGCTCAAGGCGCATCCAACCTGGCTGTGAACACTGCCAGGGTTGGGGCAGCCACAGCCTCCCTGGGCAACCTGGGACAGTGTCTCACCACCAGAACAGGGAAAACGTCTGCCTAAGAGCTCATCTCAATTTCCCTCTTTCCATTTCTCCCCATTGCTCCTTGTCCTGTCCCTGCAGTTCCTAACCAAGAGTCCCTCTGCAGCTTCCCTGGAGCCCCTTCAGCTCCTGGCAGGTTGCTCTGAGGTCTCCACACAACCTTTTCTTCAGGCTGAACAGCCCCAACTATTTCAGCCTGTCCTCGTAGGGGAGATGCTCCAGTCTTGCTTTGAAACATGACTGTATCTTTCATTGCTCTCTGATTGCATTTTTGTTCAAAAAGAAAGGAAAGAAAAAAGAAAGACAGATGTTTGGCTTTGTGTGAAGCAGAAAAACCAGCATCCTTTGCAAACTGGACACACCCTAAATCTAAATACCTCTGATTTTCAACAGCAAATCCATGAAAAGGAAAAGTGTGGCATTTCCTGCAGGAGAGGGCAAAGCTCAGGTGCTGCACAAAGGGAATCCAACGTGCCCACAACACCCATCTCCGTGCTCAAGGGCACAGTGTGCACACCAAACACAGCTGTTCCAACCTAAGAGTTTTAAACACTGAACCTAGGATCGTCTTTCATGTTTGAAAACTTCCATAGAAACATCAGGGTTGGAGGAAACCTTTAAAACCATCAAGTTCAACAGTTAAGCTGTCGCTGCTGTAACCCCTGAGCCGTATCCTCCAGCAGCAGACCCAGACTGACTCAGACTCCTCCAGGGATGAAGGAGGTGCCACGGGTGATGATGACTCCCAGGGAGGTGGTGCAGTCACCAGCGGTGGCACTTCCACACACACAGACACACGGTGACCCGAAATACAGCCGAACCCATAAACCGCATCACCCGAGGCCTAAAAATAATCGTTCCGAGCAGGAAACACGACACCCGCGCGGCCGCTCGCCCCGCACTCACCCTCCTCCTTGCGCCGCTTCACCACCT